TTACTTTTAAATCAGGTTAATGTTCTGAATGGTTAATTTAATTTTTAATTTATACTGGTTTTGTATCCCTTTTGATTGCTCTATGATGAGTTTTGTTTTTCAGCCTCCACCAAAGATACCAGATAAACAGTTAGATGAGAGGGAGCACACGATAGAAGAGTGGAAAGGTAAGAAAAGCATTTAAAGTATAATAAAACTTTTGGGAGTGTGCTGGGCCCCAGTGAATATTGTAATTGAAGTTCTTCTGAACATCCTATAAGTATTTACTTCATCTGCTTGGATGTCAGGGGAACAGACCGGTGCTTCACAGCCTCTCAATTGTTGGGACACAAACTTCTGCAAAGGAGATGAACCTTTGAAGTGAACTAAAGACCTGCTCATCTCAGTCACCTTTTGCAATCCACAGGACAGCATTTGTAGGGAGGGTAACTCTTCTGGACAAACTGCTACAGCTGAAAAAGATGCAGGACCTTGAGCAGTGTAGTAATGCTGAATTAGAAGGACAAGTCTGACTGTTCCTAGCTCTTCCTTTGAGGACTGCTGCTTGAGTTTCCCTTACCAAAGAAGCCATTGATGAAAACTGAGTGGACCTTAAGGCTCAGCTTAGTCTTAGGTCTCCAAGCAGCCTGAATAAAAGAACCTTAGAGCAATGCCAGTGTGTTCTCAAGAGTACCAGGCCACTGTAACTCCAACAGAAAAGAATGTACATTTTTTATCACTTGCCAGTTGTTGTGTAGCCTACAACCTATTGTTGAAAACTGATTCTGAATAGTAATAAACCTATTAAATTTAAATGAATATTTTAATGGGAGATGTATTATTGATCTAGTCTTTGGATTGCAAATTCATTTTTTGCCTTCCCTTCTCTGCATTTTCAGAGTTGATATACAAGGAAGTCATGGACCTGGAGGAGAGAACCAAGAATGGGGTTATACGTGGCCAACCAGCCCCTTTAGGTTGGTTACAATAAAAGCACAGTACAAGGCTTCACTGAGTTGTAGGTCAGGGGGAGTAAAGCTGATCAAGACATCCAAAAGTAACCTAACTCAAAAATATGGCTCTTAAATTACCTAACCTCTTCAAGTGAAACATTGTATATTTGAGTGGAATATACAGGGCTGACATCTTTTTACTGATCTGTTCAATCCCCCTATCTTTGTCCCTGTGTAATTGATTCTTCATTCATTTCAGTTCTTGACACACCATCTGTTAAGCCCCACATTAAAGACTTGTGGGTTTTATTTATTTTGACAATGGATTGAGACACATCTCTTCAAACTTGCCAAAACAGGGAAAAGTAACAGCCATTAGGAAGAGACAGACTAATGCAAGTACTGAACTGTGCAACTGTATCTGCAACTGATTTGCTGTTTTATTTCTCATAGCACAGGTGCAGCAATGATCAATGGCTCTCAACACCCATCTTCATCATCATCTGTCAACGATGTGTCTTCAATGTCAACAGATCCAACATTGGCCTCTGATACAGACAGCAGTCTAGAAACCTCAGCTGGACCTCTGGGTTGCTGTAGATGACTACTTGGTCTTTTGGGGGGTGGGAGGGGGGTCCTTTTAGTCATTAATAGGGCACTTTTAAAATTTGGTGGTATTTTTGAGTGTTTTTTCAAAAATAATCATGGAATTCATCATAAAGTGCTGTAATTTCAAACTGTACGTTGTGTTATAAGCAGCCACTTTTTTGCTGTAATTAACTGTAAAATATTAAACCTGGTAATTTTTATTGTGGTTTTAAAATCTGCATATTTGCTTTACTATTATGCTGCTGATCTTTTTTTACTGAATTTGTAAGATTTCTTTTATCAAAGCACATATTAATGTTGTGGTCATTACCATATGATGAATTATTTAATATTTTATAGGTTTTCAATTTTTTAATTAGAATTTATTCTAGATGTTTTGTTCATGATATCCTTCAAAGTTTTATGCTTGGTCATACATCTTTGTCCAGGTGGAGGGGGAGAGAATTCAGTGCAGCCAGCTGTAGTTTCAGGCATACTACTCTGGTGCTGGGTAGTGAACAAAATCCTCTTTTTATTTTGGCCATTTGCCTATAATACTTCAGGAAAAGCAACAATTAGTGAGACTTTTTTCAGAGAAACAGAAAAAATCCTTTGCAGAGTTACAATGTCTGAATGGGTTTAAGAACTTAAGAAAGCAACACATATCTTCAAAGCTGCAGAAATATCCAGCCTAGCAGAGTAATGTGATGTTTTCTGCAGAGTTGGGCATGCCAAATCTTGTGATCACCATAAAACATGAGGATACTTCATGAATAATACATTGCAATGCCAATAAACTGTTTACTTCTAGCTTGTAGCCTGGTTTTGTACACACAAAATGAAGTGTATCCAGGATGTTTAGACTGACAAGAGGGAAAATGAATATGCTGTAGCTATACTTTCATGTGAGACGTGATTATTGGGAGTTCTGGTTCTTACTAGTTTTGTCTACTAAGGCAAGTGCTTTTTGAGTGCTTTTTGGGTCAAAGAGGGAACGACATGAATGCAATAGGGGCAAAACTTTGGCTACTCTTTCTCCACCAAAAGTAACTGCTAAAAACCATGAAGTGGTAGGAGAACCTCAGGATTTCTGTAGCTAATGCATTAATTGAGCAATATATGCCATCCAAAGGAGGGATAAATAGTGCTGTATAAATTAATATTTCTCTCTTTCATTTCACCATGAAATCAGTGTAGCAGAAATCTTAGCAGTGGTTCATTTAAATTCATAAATATTCAGTAGTTTTCATCAACAAAGCTCCAGGTTTCAATACACTTTTTAAACAAAAGATATATTGAGATATATAGAACAGTTACTAAATAGTCATGTAAGATGGTGCTGCTCCTTACAGAAGTATTTTAACTGTTTACATTTTATATTTACAGAATGATTTATGTATAACTGACTTAAGTTTATGTATGAGTTAAACAATCATTCAGAATTTATTTCTTTGGAAAATGCAGATTTTTAGTGAAGCTAGGCTGTATAATTGATTGCCTTGTGTAGATGCATATTTTGTGTAGTGAATTAGAATGTGAAGAGGAATTTGAATTAGTAAAGCTCACACAAATGGGCATAAAAGATACACAAGTCTTGCCAGGCGCTGAGCATAAGCAACTAATGTAACTGCCTACAGAGGTCATCCAGGAGTGACTGGTGGTCTTCAGTGTGGTTCCTTCTGCTTGTTGGGTTAAATAAGCATCATTTTGAAGTTTTAACTGAAAGAGGAAAATTTGTCTTTGCAGTAAGTTAGAGAAAAACAGAAGCGATAGTAATGTCAATATGTAATATGTCTTTTTTTTAAAAAATGCAGGGTTGCAAGGAATGGTAATGTCTCAAAGATAACTAAACTGATAAACTGCACAGTTGTTTTTGTGGCCTGGCTAGACTGCTGGTATAAGTGCTGTGTGCGTGTAATTTTGCTTTCCTCACTTTGTATCTAATATTTCAATATTGCCTTCCTAAGCCACATTTGTTAAGGCAATTATTTTTGCAGGATCCTGCCAAATTGTTTATTACCTCAGAATAGGCAGGACAAGTTTGGATTCATCTAGCACTGGAATGTAGAAAATGTTGAACAGAGACCAACAGAACAGTCTATTTTGTAGTTTTTTTATGAAAGTTTAAGCTGTGAATTAAGCCAAAATTTTTGGTCAAACAACACTACTCCATTGTGTTATAGGGTCAAGTGATAGTGTGGTCAGCACAGTGTAATGTAGTTAAGACTGACAAAAGTAACTTCTGATGCATCTCAGTGCTGTTAAAAACAAATTGGTAAATATAGTTCCTATTTAAATTTATTTTAGACTCCACTGGATTGCAGTGATGATTGAAATATTTTGAAACTTAGAAATATTTTTTGCTATCACTTTCCAGTGTCCTAAATATAGAGTAACTGAACTGAGCTCATAAGCACTAAGAGAAATTGAGCTTTTCTTCTTTCAAGGCAAGGTTAGTGAATGTCTGGAACTGCCCACTGCAGCCTGTTGCAGTGTGAGCAAGCTGTTCTTAAAGGGATTGCTTCAGTAGTGTCAGAGCTTTGCCTGTGGAAACCAAGAGTTCACTTTTGGCACCATCTTCACAGCAGTGTTGCTTTTTCTCTTTCTTTTTTTCAGTTGCTTGCATTTTAGGCAAATTAAAGTGATGGCAAATTTCAAAGACAAAATCATATTCAGTAATCAAATTATCACAACAGCATCCTAGTCTTCCCTTTTTATTTGTTGAAATATAATTTTTTTTCACGTAGGTGTACACTGCCACAGATAGCAAACAAATGGTTAACTGGAATTCAGCTGTCCTTGTCTATTGTTAGATTATATGCCACCTAATATGCTGTACAATATTAAAGTATTCTTAAGTTTTATTTTAGACTTTGATTTGGAATCTTCTCAAGACAACAGGCTTCACTGAAGTACATGCAACTTTCTAAGGCCATTCCAATCCACTGAGAATTGATATGGATTGAATTACCATGAGCTGTCTGATCTCTTACCTCAGGTGAGGTTCAAAGTTGGGCAGTAATAACAAGATTGATTTCTGCCTTCTCTGGGCAGAGCAATGGCATCATGCAGCAAGGGTAAAGCAGCTATTTCCCTTTTGTAGAAGTAGGTTGTTCAAGAATTTGAAATAGAGATAGAGGGGTGGAATTAGTAACCTTAGGGTGTACTGGGATGCTGTGCTGGGAGATCTTTTGTTGGTGCAAGACAGTGGGTCAGAGCTGATGTGTTTGTGTGTGTGAGCAGCTGTTCTGCCCAAGCACAGCTCCCTGGTGGAACATGCTCAGCCCTGGGTCACTCTGCTGAGCTGAGCAGATGTTGCGCTCTGCCCTGCCCAAGCCTGGGCTTTTAGCTTTGAAGAACTTGTACTGTGTGAGATGCAGCAGCACCTGTGGTGTGGTGGGGGTGTCCTGTGCTGTGCCAGCAGGGCCCTGCTGCCTGGGCTTGGTGGGGCCAGCACTGAGCACCTGGGCCGGGGCTCTGTGGAGGAGGATGGACGGACAGACGGACAGATTGATTGATTCAGCTCAGCAGTGCATGAAGAAAAAATGTCAAAAAACTCCTACAGGAGGATGGTCCTCCTCAGCCGGTAATCCAAAGTGTAGGACAGCAAATGTTTCTTGATAAAGTTCATGGGCAAAAGGGAGGGAGAAGGTTCAGCTTGTACTCAGTCTTACTCCTTCAAGTTGCTAAAGGGAGGGAATTACAGTTTCTAGATTTATTTGCTGTTGGCAGCAGCTTGTCCATGCTGTTACATTTTATTTTCCTGTCATTTTCCTGTCAGTGGTTTGGTGCAGTTGAAGAAGAGCCTGTTTGTATTTTTCAGTAGGATTAGAAAGAGATTTTTAATGAAGCAGTGTGATAAGACTGTACTGCCTATCCAAATTTTCAATTAATTTAATTTATTCTTAGTTAAGGGCACTGGATAAAAGTGGTATTTTACGTGGTCTCTCTCACTCCCTTCTCTTTGTATGTCTACATTAGAGAAATGTGTTACGAATCAGATCACATTGTGTTTCTCTTCTGCAGTTCAAAATTTAAGCTAGGTTTTCTTGAACTACCTCACACAAACTTTCTACGTTTCTTAAGTAAGCAAAGCTAACCCTTGCTATTGGAACTACACTGAATGTGAATAGAAAATACACCTCCATTAGAAAAACAAACATATTGGCCAATGTTGAGACAATATCAGTATGTTTCTTATCTATTTCATGTAAGATGTTCATGTGTAATATAGAGCTTGTGTACAGTAATGTACATCTAGATTATTGTGTTAGCTGTAAATTGGTGATTTTATTATTGTAGTCTGGTTTTGTAGGGTAAAAATAGCTTACTAGTAATGTCAGCTCATCCTTTACATTTTACAAAAGGAAAAATTCTTGGTAAGCTTTGCATACAGATGAATTACTTTTGTAGGCCCAATATCTAGTCTATTTTTGAGAGTTCTTTAACTTTTATTACTAAAGTTGAGAAAAAAAATCCCACCCCAATTATTGTGATCATTCCTTCTGCCCTTTTTGAAGTATATTCTTAATTTTATTATGTCCCAAGAAATATGAAGGGGAAGATACACCATTAAAAATACTGGGGAAAACTAATTTTTTTTCTTCCCCACATTTGATACCTTTTCCTGCTTTTCTTTTATTCCCTCCAAATAAGCTGTTGGTGGGCATTACTGAGAACATTGTGGGGTTTTTTTAACTCATTCATGCCATAGGTCATTACATGTGCACCACTGGAATGTATACATTGTTATCTAGTATGTCAGTTGGTTATAATGATATTTTAAATAAAAAAGAAAAAAAAATGTTTGACCACCATGCATTTAGTGTTTCTTCATTGCCAGGCTGCGATGGATTTCATATGGATTGCGTAATAGGGCTGCACTTGAAATCTTATCAGTGAGACTCCTTCCTGAGAATTCTTCTGTTTTCTAATGGTAGTGTCCTGTCTTGTGTGTGAGCTCACTTGTGGGCAAAGTGACGTTTTTTTCCATTTCTCCATTCCCATGGACTTTGGATGTGCCACAGACTGTTAACAGCCACAGGTTCAGGGTCTTTGCTTCAAGTGGGAATCCATTCTTGCTTCCTTGCTGCCAGCTCTAGCTGGAACTATATTCCAGGAATTCCTGGAACTACAGTTGATGAGAGCCTGTGCTGCTGAAAGGTAAGCCATGGGCTGCCTACTGTATGGGAGAGTCTCAACACTGCATATTGGAGAAGCCTGAAGGATCTGACTTCTGGAGAGCTGACTTGGATGCCTGGACCACTCACTGCACTGGCACTTCTCCCACAGGTAAGTCCCAACATAATGTATTTGATTGCCTTCACTTCCAGCAGGATTTCAGTGCTTCCTTTAATGACTAGAGCTGCACTTGAGCTGTGTTGGTGGTGCCTTTGTGTCCAGTTTCAAGGGAAAGCAACTGTGACCACACTGTAGCCAGCTTTTTTTATCTGGGCCAGCAGTTTATGAGATGCTCTTCTAGGAGTGGTGGCACTCAGAAATGCTCTTCTTAATTTGCATATGTCAGTATAAAGTGCAGCCAGTTTCCAGTGCTATGTTATTGCAGAGCAAGGCCAGAGAAAGTCATAGCTCTGCCCAGAGTTTGTCTGGTGGCTCGGGGCTGAAACACTCCATAATGCTGCTGGCTTCAGTAGAACTTCCTTGTGAACATAGATGAGTCATTAAGCTATCCCTGTTCATTTCTGGTTTTGTGTTAGAAATGCCATGGCCTACCAAAGTTTTCTTTGTTATTCTGAAGTGTTGCAGTTTTGCTTTTTTTTAAAGCATATGCTTGTGTTGTTTTTCTTTCTTCACTGAAAAGTTCTTACTGGGTTGTTTTTTTTCCCTGTATAATACAGGAAGAGATATTCCAGGCTGGGAAGATGGCACAGATGAAACTGGTAATAATTTATCTATTCCAGGAGCCTTCTGTCACATTTAATTAATAATAACCAAACCTGTATTGTGTAAACACTTGCTAAGAAAGCAGACATTTAGATGAGGGACGGTAATGAGTGCAACATCTGCAAAATAAGGAGTGGTCTCCAGTGCTTGCTGTGGGGAAATGTATTGGTGGGGAAGAGTATGGAAACAGGAATTAAAGGCAGGAAAGGGTGTATCATCTTCCTCATAAGGGCATAGTCTTCTTTGAAGCTTTGTACAAGTGGATCTCATTTCTTGCATAATTGCCCATATCAGGAATCTAGTGTTATGGTCCTGTTGCTGCACTTGAAGTTAAACTAAATCCACTGTGGTGCATTTTAGTGTGAACTGCAATGTTTGCAGCTTCTTGCCAGGTTTATATACTGCAGTGGCTCATCTTCAAAAGCAGCCAAAATTTATTCCTCATGAACAAGACCCATAGATGTTGCTGGAGCGCAAGAGCCAGTCTGGAACTGGTTTTTTTCACGCCTCATTTTGAGTGGATGGAGTTTCTTTGTATATCAAAAAGAATTAATTTTATCTTGGATACCAGATCATGTAGTGCTGTAGAGCTCATGATCCTATCCTGGATCTGCAAGTTTGGGATAGGTGGGTTTGTTAGCAGTTACCTAAGGTTAAATACTTAAGAGAGTTAAGCTTGTCTCTGCTGTATTTGATGTCTTGTCTTGTCATTTGATGTCAGCAGGGCTCAGTTCTTGAGTTTGTAGTGTGAACTAAAGGGAGCAGTCTGCACTCGATACATACAGGAGATAATGCAATATAAATGGTATAAGGGAGGTGTGGGCTGGCAGGATGGATACAGAAAGGCTTCTGTGTTTTGGGTAGAAATAAAAGAAGGGATTAAAATACCCTGCTTGCTACTAGTACTTGGATTGAATGTTGCTGTTTATCAGTCCTGGTGTTCTACTTACAACCTGGTTCAGACCACCCTCCAAGTTAAGGTTTATTTTGTGATGACTGACCTGGTACCTCCAGCTACCTGCCAGACTCTGCTCTTCCGGCTCAGTCACTGTTACTGCTTCTCTCTCACATTATGCATCTGATGCTGCTGTTTTAAATGGCCATCTTATTCCTTAAAGGGTCACATGTGACCATTGGTAATGAATCCAAGGCAGAGGTGTTAAAAACAGATGGGGATGATGCTCATACCTGCAGGTAGCAGGCAGCTGCTGCAGAGCATGCAGGTATCTGCCTCATGCCAGGGGCAGTAATGAATCCAGGGCAGCTGGAGAGCCTGGGAGGTAGGAAAAAGGTTTTGAAATAATTGAATGAACCTTTCCACATGGCTTACTGTACCATCTTGCTTGCTTCCTTCCTTATCCAGGAAAGATTAGGTCAAAATTTTGCTTTTTGTTTGCTTTAAATGTTTTTGGTTTTGTTTACATTTTTTACATTTCTATAGGAAGGAGAAGTGTTACAGTGCAGTAGAAACAAGTTAACACCCAGATGTTTTAAATATTGAAATAGCTGGATATCTGTGAGATGATGAGGAGAACGTATATCTTTCAGTATTGACTATTTCCTGGTATGTAAAAAACCCATTCTAAGGTTATTTCCAGACAGTGAGTCATAGTCTTCTCTAGAGTAAGAAATGAGATTCAGGGCGTTTTTCAAAATACTTAAAATAAAGCAGTCTTCTTCGTTACAGTCTGTACTTTCCCTTTAGCCAGTTCAGGTTGTTGTGGCACTTCTTTTATCCTTAGAAACTCCCAAGCTACCTCAGGATGTCAAAGATAGAGTGCCAAGACAGAGTGAACAGTGCTGGGCTCACATGTGGAATTCAAACTGAATCTGGTGAAACAATTTTCTTTGTGCAGGCTCTGCATGGCTCAGGGTGTTACAAATGCTATGCAGAACTTCTTTAAATCACTTGGAATGGAAGTCAGCCCTGTCAGCAAATAACCGGAACTTACAGCTTCATTCTAATGATTTTTCCTTAGCAGAAGTAAGGAACTTGGGATGATGGGTTGTTTGCAGTATTCTTCCTGTCCCCTCATCTCCCTGTAAGAACTAACAACAAAAATATCAGCTGGTATCAAGAGACATGTTACAAGGCAGGTAAGTGTACATTGTCCAGGAAAGGTTAAGGATAGATCCCCACCCTCCCCCCGTTACCACCCTGACATCCCCCACCCCAATTGCACTAACTCCTCTTACCGTAAGTTTTGCTATTAAAGTTTGGATGTGTTTTGATGATAAGAATCTTGCATCTTCTACCTTAATACATCTATTGACTCAGATTTTTTTTTTTTTCTTGCAGCTGATACTGCTCTATTTTTGGCTCAGAAAACCCTGATACCTAGGGCAAAATGTGCATATTTAAAGTTCCACAGAGTTTGTGTAATCAATATGATTATTAATCAAGTTTAATTTAAAGCTGCATTTTTGTGAAACCATTTGGTGGGTAAGGGACAATTTTAGTGAATTTTCAAGAGTTTGATATCCTCAGCATGTTTGCAGACCTTGTTTTCATAATATCTTCACAAAATAATACCACTCTGAATGAGAAATTTGAACAAACTTTATGGAGGGAGTGGGGCAAAAACCACCTCATTAAATCTGTCTGTCAAACCTCCCAGCTGTGGTGACAGACTGGAACTGCTGCCTTCCCAAGCACAAGTGTGGGAATCCCTCAGCTCCAGGCTCAGCTTGTTTATTGGTTCTGGCCATGCACCCACCCTGCAGGACCTTCCACTGTTCTTGAGCCAGGAAAAGAATGGTGCAGTTGAGTCCAAAGATGGCAGCAGGGCACTCTGGAGGAAGAGTAGCTTAAGTTCTGTGGATACAGAGGGGACCCACTCTTTCTTGGCAATCTGACACTAAATTTTCAAGCTTTGTAGTCCACAGTCTTTCCCAACTGGCCCAAATACTATAGCACATGTAAAGACAACAGGGCAAGTGTCACTGAGAGCACAATCACTATAGCATTACTCATGATACATGAGTATACCAGAACAAAATATGCATTTTCACTCATTTTATCAGGAACAGGATTTTCTATACTTGTTCTACTTGGGGACTTTAGCACTTTGACTCCCAACAGTTAAACATCCTAATGTTGAAAAAAATTCTTCCATTTCCTTCTGCAGGAGGTAATTTCTCTTCTCGGCATCTTCCCGAGCGCGTTCAGAATTCCTCAGCTTTATCTCCAGCATTGTGTATTTCTTCCGTTCTTGGTCCAGTTCTTCTTCTAACCTAACCACTTGGTTCCTCAGGTCTGCACTTGTTTCTTCAATTCTTAAAACCAACAAAGAGAGGGAAAAAAAAGGCTTTTTAAAGTGGCTGGATAAATACAGCTGCTAACTATAAAAACTCTAGAGGAACAACTTAAATTTAACATATTCAAAGACTTAAGAGATAACTAAATGGCATTTCATTACTGCTGTATTTAAGGGCAGAGGATTCCTTGAAAGCTAGAGCTTCCTTTATTTGCATCTCGAGAAAAATGCTCAGATCTTACAAAACAATGCTTACTTACCAGTACCAGACTGCCTGGCTAAGGAGATGTATTAACTCCTCACTTAGGCACAGTTCAAGTAGATCATTCCAAAATAATCTTTTAAATCTCTGTTTTCACCCTGATACTGTGTTTCCCTATATGTCCATCCAGTACAGAGGAACCTCCTTAGGGATCAGATAGGAATGAGGTCACAGTCCTTCCTCACCAGCCATTTGATGGTATTTTCTGTCAAGTTTATCATTGACATTGGGGTGGGATACGGGATTTTATGAAGCCAAATTTTCACATGAGGAAGAATCAGAAGAACAGTTCTTAAATGTATCTGTGCACAAACCACTGAAGCAAAATTCAGAGCTTTTCGCTTGGGAGGTCCAAGAACAAGGTTCATGGTTTTGTGGTTTCAAAGAAGCACAGAAGGCACAGCACATGCTGTTCTCCCCCTTTGTTTCCCAATCACAAGATCCAAGTAGTGGTGTTAAGACTGAGGAAGGAATATTTTCAGATAGAAATTACTGATTACTAGAATGTAAATTTAAAAATTAGGCTTTTACAATGAAAAATTCCCTTCCTCTAAATAAAATAAATACAACCCTAACAATTCCCAATACAAAATCACCCCCACCTCTCCTTGGTCAGTCCAATACTCAACTTTGAAGCTGGGGTGTAGCATCCCAGTGGAACTGTGAAGGGGTTTAGTCAGGGTAACTGATTATCAAGAAGGTCATGCTGCTGCCTCCATAAAAAAACAAAAATGGAAAAAAAGGGGTCTTGGGCAGTCCCAGAAGGGTCTGAATTCTACTTTATGACCAAGAGGCAGTGCAATGCTTCACCTTAAACTTTTCCTTTCTGTTCCTTTACATACAGGTAAAGATGGTAGTTTGATTATAGTCACAGTTTTCACAGTGAATCGAAATCACAGGTACACTGATTTCCACCAAGTCCAGCAAAAAGCATCCTGTGGATGAAGGCAGACCTTTATCCCCAGCCAGCTGTCAGCTGGAATATGACACTTCTGAAGCTGGGATACTTCCCCATACACACACACGTAACAGCTCTGAGCTGCCAGTTACATTTTCTACCACTAACTGTAGGGGTCAACTACAGCAGCCTGGTCTGAATTACACAGGGTCACGGTACTTACAGCATTTCTACATTCATTAACAGACCTCTCCAAATACTTAGACTTTCTTAAGAGTCCCATGTGGTAAACATGAACTACTGAAACTCAACAGAGAATGTCGGATAATTATATTTACCTTGAGGGAGAAATGCTCTGGAACAGAGTGGTTACAGGAAGGCCATAAAACTTGCCTCCCTCTGACTAAGAGAGAGAAAATGGGCAGTTGATGAGAAATAACAGCTTTTCCATCAGCAAGTGTTCCTTACCTCTGCCCCAGGCAGGTACTCACTCTGCTTTCCCTTCACTTATGTACGTGCCAACAAAAAAGCTCATATTCTTTCATTAAAACATGTCCTGCTAGATACACACAGTTCTGCAAACCACACAAGCACATGTGCATTTTTGGGGGACTAAATTATCTTCAATAAATCAAAGCTGGTGCAGCAGCTTATATCTTTTGTGCTAAGCAGCCTCCCTTTGCTAGTTAGCTCCTGTCTTTCTGTAGTAGCAGACTTCCATGCAGTCTATAAAGGAACATACTTTTGCACCCATAAATTGCTGCAGATGTAGTAAAAACATTGCAAAATTTTTGAGAGCTGAAAAACTTGGCTTGAAATTCTTAGACTTGACAGCACAGTCCTTCAGGCTGTAATCCTGAACAGCTGGAGTCATCCTGTTTAATACAAAAAGGCAGCGATTGCATCTTGCCTGGTTTTATGAAACTTCAGTTCATTAGGCATTTTCCTCTCAGCTACTTTGCCCTGTGAGACCTGGCCAATTTAGAGTCCTCCCCTCGAGCCACAGTGCTCTCTGTCCCATCCAGCTGCAGGGGAAAGGCAGGGATGGGAGCTAAAGCAGTCAACAGCTGGAATGAAGAACAGGTCCTCCTGGATGCCCCTGATGTCAGCAGCTTAAGGCTCCATTGGAACAGTTTTACTGATAAGAGGTGGAAAACCATGTCTTCCCCCAGGCAGCAGGCAAGAATGTGCAGCTATACATTTCCAGGTTTTGCAGCCTGGTATTTCTGTTTATTAACCTGTATCCCTGCAACAAGGCTTGCCAGGGCAGCTCTGCACAATTAAATGTAAGGCACATACCCTCACCTCCCTCACATTTTGCATCAGTAGGGCAGCTAGAAAAACAAACCATGTAAGCCATGAACCTCCACCCTCATTCACAGACCCTTCACAACATCCAATGCTAGCAACGGCTGGTGCTTCATAAGCTCTTACACCTGGAACACAACAAGGTGGGGCTTTTCTCCCACTCAGGGATGTTGGGTGGGAGCTGAAACTGCTGCACAGCCTGATTCTCCTTCCAGCTCCACACACCAAGGCAGTACAGTGCAAGAGGCAGAAATGCAGCACAGGCTGGCAAGCCACCACCAGAGGAAATCATAAAGCAGAAAGATAGCAAGAGGAATTCCTACCTTAACAAATGGCCCACGGGAATAATCACACTTCAGATACACTCATAAAACCTAATATACTCACACAAATTAATGACTCCCTTGTTATTAATATTCTCTACTTCCTACAGCCCCAGCCCTACACACAGCTCTCCTGAAAACTGAAAGGATTTTTTCTGAGCTCAGATGGAAAGTACAGCACCAGCAGTTGTGCAAAGAAACACCAGCTGGCACATGGCACAGTTCACACTGCTCCCCCAAGCTAGGCTACTCCTTCAGCCAAGGACTACTCTCTACATCAGAAACCAAAAGTGAGGTTTCAAGAAGTTCAGCACAAAAGGGCTGCTGAAAATACTGTAGCTCAGATGCAGTCCCAATACCACCACCCCAAAAAAAACCTGTGGAAAATAGTCAAGAGCAGTTTCCTCAAGAATGCTGCTGTTGGGAAAACAAGAAGCCCTCTGTTTCAGACTGGTCTGGTACAAGTATCAGCACCTGCACAGATCATCCTTGTTGAGGCCTGACCATCTTGGGTCCCAATTCCTCCCTACAAGATGTTTGCTTTGCTATTTCTCTGAGAACACTAAGAGAAATACTTCTGGCATTACCAGTGCAGTTCTCATTTACAGTGAAAACACAGAATATGAAGTATTTGATTTCCTTGTGTCATAGAAATCCCCCTTTGTTTTCTTTTTTGTTGCTTTCTTAAATCAAATAAAGAAAAGTTGGATTCAGAGAGTAGCAAGGAAAAAGTAGAACCAAATCTGCTGTCACCCAACCCCAAATTTCAGGGCTGAGAACCTGATACCCTTGGTAGCCCACACCCATGTTCAGGCAGGGAGAATGTTGACAGACAACTTCCTTGTGCCCCCTGCAGATGACATTACCTTTTGATACTAGTCTCATACTCAGTCCTCTGTTTGCTCAGTTCTGTCTTTAGCTCCACCACCAAGCTCTGTAAGGCCCTGGAGCATTGGACAGAGTCTCGGGAAGCTGCAGCCGGGTCACTCTGTTCACTGCTGCTGCTGCTGCAGGCTTCAAACCTGTCCGTGCTGTTCTCCAGATCTGCGGTCTTGACCTCGCTCTGAGACAGCGAGCCCTGAGTTACCCACTCGGTTTTTAGGGAGCTTAAAGCAGAAGAGTCACTGGCCCGGCAGGCTGGGCAGCTGCTCACCGAGTCCATCACAGAGATCTCACAGGATGATGTAGACCAGGTGGTGCTGGCCATGCTGTGTGTGCTGAGGGACAGGCTGGATGAAGGGACATTGTCATAAGTAGAGAGTCTCTGGGAGGAACACGAGTCTTTCACTCGTTCCCCAGAAGCTGTCCGGCGGTGGCCTCGGAGAGAGTACAGGCCGTTCATCAACCAGTTCCCACTGGAGGACAGGTTGGGGATATCTAAGGATGAGCTGCCCAGCTTTGGGCTCACAGAGCGTGCTCCCTGCTGGCGGAAGGAATATTTCCACGGAGGCAGTGTCTGCACTCTTTTACTGGGGCTCGTGGCAGGCTGAGTCGATTTGCCACTGTGCTCTGGAGGAGTGATTTTCACTGCAGGTCCTGGAGTGGCCTCTAGAGCCACAGCATTGCCAGGTGGCAAATCAGCGGGGCTGGCAGCGCTGTTCTGTGACCTGCTGTCCTCCCCGTCCTCCTCGGAGATCCACTCGACAGTGCTGCGCTGGCGCACGGGTCTGATCTCCAGCTGGCTCCCTGGCACATCCCCCTGAGGAACAGCAAAGATCCGCCCCTGTTCACTTATCAGCACTGTCATCAGGTGCTGAACCAGCGAGGTGCCTGTGGATGGAAAACAAAGGCAAGCAGGTGAGGAGACATGGAAGACCTCTGCGACTCACCCCAGCCTGTTTGCATGACTGGGTTGCACTCAGTTTCTGGGTCTGAACAGGCCCAGAGCTACTGCTTATTGAAAAATCACAAATTTCAGCTCAGGCCTTCTGCTACACTCAGTGTATAGAGAAACTTGCAGAAAGTATGACATCTGCATTATATTATATATATTATTATATATATATATTATATCTGCACTCACAGAGGGTTACAGGAAGTGCAGAAAGTGCTCGCAATTATTTAAATCCTCAGAAATGTGCTGGTACCGTTCTCCAGGAGTGGAGTAAACCATTATGAACTAACAGAGAACACCACTTACCAAACCTAATACAAAGCACTTCCTACAGAGGAAAACCTTTAGAAGGGTGAATAAGCAATTCTATTTTTAAGTGTAGCCTGAAATAGAGAATAAGGCAAACATACTCAGGGTTCAAGGCAAGAGCATGATTTTATTGATGAGTTTTTGACCTAATAGCAAAATGTACTGAGCTCACCTACCACTTCTATTTTATTTCTGTGAATGCAGGAAGAGAATTAAATGTCTTGAAAATAAGGGCATTCCTAACAATTTAGCTGTCAAACTTCGGATACTTCTATTTGAAATGCATGGTTTAAATTTTAAGAGAGACACAATTAGAGTGCTTTTTGTTAAGATATCATTATCAGTTTATTTAGGAGATCCAAATTACTCTGAAGCTGAAAAAAAAAAAAAAAATTGAGTCTTTCCACTTCTGTTACTTTTATCTAACCAACCTCAGCTAAATTCTCTACTAAAATAAAACATTGCCAATCCTGTTATGAGTATAATGATTAAGTCTAAAAATCCAGCCCACATATCCCAATTTTTCAGTTCAAATCTGTGGCAATACAGAATTCCCGGTCAGATCACTGTAGTGTTTTCACAGTGACCCCAGCACCTGCACGTGTGCACCTACTCACAGTACAGGCACCTCTGCCCTCGGATGAGCTGCAGAATTAAATGCCTGAGGTGATGTGAACCCAAATTTGTCCCTTGTGCCAGCTGAGCAGAGAGCACGCTGCTGGCCAAGGCTGTGAGAACCGTGCCAGCGCTGGCCCGGTGGCCACTAGGGGAAGTGCCAGCATCGCACACAGGCTGATTTCAGCTGTCCCCTCCTCCAACACTGAATAACAAGCACTGCTGCCGCACTCCCTTCTTCTCCTCACGATTTTTGTTCCTTCTGCACCTCCAGGGGAAGGTATAAAATTCACCCTTAAAACTATGACCCGCATCTTCTGTGGTAGGCTTTAAGTCCCTGAACTACTATAATATGTCATGTCATGCTCTGAAGTTGTCCTGTTGTCTTGCAGTGAATTGCCATCGTGGGGGACACATCTGCACATCACCTGTGAAGAGCTAAAGGCATTTCTGCTGCTAAGGCATGACAATACTGGCCTTCTGTGAAGGATTTGCATCACAGAAAATACCATGTCAGCTGTCCCCTACAGCTAGGGAGCAGAATCAGAGCCAAATTCAGGCATCCTGGGCACAACATCTCCATCTGCGCCTAATTAATTCATCAACCCTTTTTGCAGGCTTGCCAAAATCCTACAAAACTTATGCAAAAATCTTGCTAAAACTTGCACCACAGTAGTGTTTCAGTGCAACCTGGGAGAGGAGCTGTATCCCAGCCCTAATGTCAGCCTGCTTGACTCATATGGAAGCAAGTAATTTTAAAGCTTCAGATTTTTTTTCATCCAAAATTAACTGATTATCAACCCCTTTTTTTTTTTAATTCTGTGAAGTTTTGATCCATACAGTCTTCTTAGAAGACAACACTTCTAAGACACTTCTAGTTATAGCCACTGTGGCACAGCCAGAACTCCAGTCCTCATGGTCCGGATGTTGTCTACAGGGAGCTGTATAACCACTGAAATGCACCAATACTAAATGATTACAGTTTGGTACTTAAGCACAGTCCTTCTGAAGAAACAGTGGAGCTTTCATTTTAGCAGTAGGTTCAAAAAGAGTTTCAGGGGTAAGGAGGCATCTCCACATGGTGGAGAGGAGAGACACTCCCAGTCCAGTGGTGAGAGGGATAAGATGCCAGCTGGAATACCCCTCACAGGCCCTGATGAAAGGGATGGCTTGACTTGTTCTGACTGTGCAGACAACTGATACAGCTACCAAGGAATGTATGGCTTTCACTTACAGCTCCAAACCACAGCTGCTGTGCCATCCCACCAGAACAGCACCTACCTTCCATCATGGTCACCGGATCCTCCATTTTGGGCCGCAGTATGTTTGGTCCAAATACTGTAGCCAGGTTCTGGACACTCATCTTGTTAATGCTGGAGTGAGCCTGAACTTCATCAAGGAACCTTGAAAAGCCCCCCCAGAAGAATCAAAGGAGGAGGGAATTCATAAGTAAGTCACTTCTCTGACTATAAGCATTCAGTTTTGTTCTGTTTTCATACAACCCTGACACCTGAAATGATTTGAGGAACTGCTGTAGCTTAGGTATTCAGTATAACCCCAGATCCCTCCTAGTATGTGAAGACCCAGAGAAGACAGGATGTTTTCTGCCAGAAGTACCCAGCTAGCAGGAACCCAGCCATCTACTGGGTCTTAAAGGACAGAGTTTTACATTTTTAAAGGAATTCTCAATTTACATGTATCGACTTTGGTGAATTTTCACTTAGAGATACAACAGAAGCAATAAGTCATCTCCTTGTCCAAGAACTAGCAGCCTGTGGAAAGAGCTTTGTGGCTTGGCTTTACTTTAACAAAATACAGGTCACAAAATCATAGAATGGTTGGAAGTGGAAGTAGCTTTAAAAATCATCTCCTTCCAATCCCCAGATAAAGAGGCAGCCCAAGAACTGGGAAAATCAGCAGAGATGAAAGCAAGGCTGTGGGGTCCCTGGTAATCAAAGAGGAAGCCACTACTGACCCCACTTCCAAACCAGAGCAAATGCCAGACTGGCTATTCTGACTGCATCTGCTACTCAACTTGTGTCATAAATCTTACAGGTGTGCAGTATCTGGAATAAGTGTCTATCTTTAATGACCTATAGGTGCTTCTGAAATAAAACAATATAACGTATTAGAATCACTCATACCTACTGCCAAGGCTGCAGGTGGCAGCAATTTGCTTGGCTGCTCCTCTTGGATAAACCAAGAGCTTCCTTCAGGCAGGCTGCATTCACCTCCACATTTTTTAAAGAAGTTGTAACTTACACTTAAGTGGTTTTTGAATATTCATACTTTCATACTATATTATTTGCATATAAGATATCTTCACAAAACTTAGAGACTTTTCCAAGTGTTAATTAATTTCACTTACTTGCATATGTACTTGAGGAGGTTGTAGTTAGCTTGGGGCAAATTCTTCACCTGTTTAACCAGTTCCTGGGTACCCTGAGGGACAGGAAAAACAAGAAGCAGAGTTATTAATGTAAATGCTGTAAAGCAGACGTGACTTTCCTTTAGGACTACAAAGTCCTCTTTCCACAGCCAAATGCTGAACAACAGATGATAACACAAAGAGGTTTTCCCACAGGCATCAGTATCAGTGTACCAGCAGATGTACCTTTGCCTGTTTGAAACTTGGGGACACTGAGTGTGATGCCCTAAGCTTTTTCTTATTTTCTAGATTCTGTACTGCATTAGTATATAACTCTGAACTTCACATAAAGTGTTAGCAAGTTCTCTTCACAGGTTAGCCAAAACAATGCTTTTCCAGCCTGAGAACCAAGGGCTCCGCTGCAGTTTCAGGCCCAAAAGTATAAACAACAGTGAACTGAGGAGAGCAATCTGGGAGGATGGGACTTCACAACCTGAAGGTATAAATGGACAATTAACCCAAATATGGAAATGGACCAAAACTTACAAAGGTGTGAAAACGTGTGATCCATCATCTATCTTGGGTGGAGCCTCGGCTGGGCTCTTGTACTGCCCAAGGTGTATCCTTTGAAGGTTAATAAATTCCTACTTTATTCCTTTAACACTGACTAGCCTCTGCTCTAGGTAGCAGGATGCCTCTCTCAAGGCATCAAGTGCAGTATAAATACATTGCAGTAGTGCTCAGTTGAGCAGAGGAAAGTTTTTTCTTAAAAAAGAGCTAAATGAAATGGGTCCAATTCAGGTACCTCCTTTTTAATGGTGTACTTCCCTTTGCAGTCATTCTGACCTGGGACATACTTTCCTCACAAAATTTCTGTCATTACATTAAAATGTAAGATGACACATCAGCTGGAGGAATGACTTAAACCCCTGAAGCTACTTAAATCATCTAATGAAAACCTCTGACTCAGGAGGCTATTGTCCTGCCACAATCCTAAGTATCATCTTCTTGTTCCTGTCAATGCTGCTGTTGCCCTGGAGATTTGCTTATTTTTGGAGACAACTAAACCTTTTGTGGAAAAACAGATACCAAGGCACATTTAAGGAGGAGTGGTAGCTGCTAACTGATGTTGCAAAAATTCCAGAAGCAAATGGTTCCCAAAAAAAGTGCAGCTGAACATTAATTTAAAACTCTCCTTGAATTTTTAAGGAAGGGAATTCTGTTGGCCAAACTCTTGCAATGTATTCCTGATTTCTCTGGTCCAGACAAGTCAGAAAGATCCATAAAGCAGTGCCCATTCCTGCTTTCCTCCTTATTACTTTAAATATACAGGTACTTTTTTATTCTCTAGATCCCAGCACAAAAAAAGTTCTCTAATAAAAACCTGAAACTTAAAATTCTTAAAAGCAGTAACCTCTTTATAATTCCTTAGCTTAAACACTATGCTGGTTTAATGGTGACAGCAATGGAGACACCACTTAAAGTCCAGTCTCTTCTGAAAATCTCAATCCTCTTTTTTAAACTTCTAAAAATTTTTCCATCAAGGATAACTGTTACTGATGTGAAGTTTAAGGTCAGTTGTTCAGGTCAAACAACTTCCAAGTGACAAGTTTAAACCAGAACTGTGTGACCTAACAGACCTAATTCCCTCTTGAATTTTGCTCTGTAACCCAATTTATTTCAAATAGGAAAATCAGGATGGTATTTGGCACTGTATTTCAAGTGTTCTGAATTAAAATGCCATTGGCTCCGCTGGATGTAAGAGAAAACTTTGGAACAGAAACTTAGGCAGCTGTGAACAGCAGGAAACAACCTGGAGGTAAAAGATGCTACCTGAAAGAAAAAAGTGTTCTAAAAATTTATCATCCATGCTTTGTTTCAAGGAATCTCAGGTACAGTATTACACAGAGAGTATCTTTATATTCAAAGTACAAACACCTGACAGGTAAAAAAAAACTCTCTCCTACTGCAGCATTTTATCAGCTCTCCCAGATTTGTCCTCACCAAGGCCAGAGGCTTAGCCTAGGAGCATCACAGTGACAGCACCAAGGAAAACACAAGCTTGAAACCTCTGTAGTAACCAATGGCACTGATCATTGCCAATGGCTGCCTGCAAGTAATAGAAGCACTGTACTGTTATTTATCATGGGATTTTGCAGAAATAACTCTTACCTCCTTGAAAATGCTGCTTTTCAATGAACAATCCCAAACCCAAGGATTTTGCAATGTGTGTAACAGATCAGCACCAATTCAGAGCTTCTAGTTTGGCTGGAAAACTAGCAACACTTTAGATGTTCATAAAAAACTCAGATGCCTCTTTGAAAAACACTTGAAGCCTTGTGTGCAATCCACTGAACTGCTGTGTGCATCTCTTGAGTACAGGTAGTGAAGGCTAAAATACCACCATGTCAAGGCAGCTCAAATGAGTTTATAGGCTTTTTGAAGATTTTTTACTCTAAATTTTCAAACCCTCCTCCCAAGCAGCTGGGATCAGAATCAAATTTTTTTTAATGCTGCAGTCCTGCTGAAATACCTGGAGACCTCTGCACCATCCAAGGTCTCTGTTATGATCCTGTTTGCATTCAAACACCAGAGATCAGCTGGGTGCAGAATAAAAAGCAATTTGAATAAAAATTGCTTGAATTGAGTAAAAACTTGGGGCAGTACTAGAGCTAGGCCAGATTAATAATCACCACAATAATTCCTATCCATAGTCACAGTGTAACAGCATGAGGTGCCAACAATTTTATCCAAAAGGCTATTTTGCTGTAAGCAATTCTGGATTTTTGGGTGTGAGGTGAGGGTGGCTGTACAAAATGAAAACTATATTAAGAGTCCAAAAGTCTAATTCAAAACTTTCAAGTGAAAAATTAAAAGAAAACAATACTTCAAATTAAACCAGTACAATTACATTTTGTTTCAAAATACTTTTACAAAATAAAATGTTTGATTTTTAAATTCCCTGCTTACCATTACATGTTAAAAATCATGGTTTCAATGAAACCACGTTTCTGAGCAGGGGGATTTTCCATGTGGGAGGCGAGTCAGGCCCCACAGGCTAGGTATGACTTTATGCTGCATCCTGCTCCTCGTGCTACTGTGCACGTACAACCTCTCCACCCCGGTGTGTGCATTCCACCTTCCTTTCTGAAAAGGTAAACAGCCCACCTTGAGGTTCCAGGTTTCCCTGACAAAACCAAAATTGCTTATGTTTACAACAGCACCTTAACAAAACAACTTTTTGAGCAGTGCTGTATTTGTAAGTGTTCATTTTGGCTACCTAGTGAACCCCATTGCCTTTCTAATCTAAAGAGAATTCTGCTTTACAAGCCATTTGAGTCTGACCTTGTTCACACAAGATGTTGCTTCCCAAACTGCTGCAGCCTGTGCAGACAAAATCAGACAAACAATGTAGTTAATAAGCTGAGCAGTGATGTACAATTATGTTTGCCCAATTTGGCAGTGTCTCTACTCTTGTGCAATAGTGCTTAATGGATCCAAAACTTCCCAGTCTGCACATCTTATGACCAAAATCAAACCAGCTCCACCGCCTTAGAAATGCTGCTGTTCCTTGTGACGTAACCGCTGTGGAGTCTGTAACACGGCACCCTGCAGAGATTCCTGAGTTCACTAAGGATAAGGCAGAAAATGAACAAGTTTTGGAGGGAGCAGACACACACCTCTCCATACTAAATACAACTCTAGTGCACTGGCACCCTGATGTCCAGAATGCAAGTACATATCCAGGTGTGGTAACATGCTGTGTCATGCACAGAAATTTGCTTTCTCACAGTTGACTAGAGGTTATATTATTTGAGTGTTATTTGCCTTTTAACCATAAAAAAAACTTATATTGCCACATATGATGCATTTGATGCATACAAACAAGCATCTTCCTGCAGGCATCATAAAGGGTAATTTCCACAGAGCCTTCTGCCACTTGAACTGAAAGTGAACCCCACACTGGCAGTGAGGAACAGCTTCTACAAATCCTGCCAGAGACAAAGACAAGACCACACACAGAAAAGCGACAGAACCGTGGACCACAGCTTACAATTCCTGAGGCCTTTGCTTCTTTAGCAAAGACAAGACACAAGTAACAGCCATTCCAGCTTCTTTAAATTTCTGTTCTAGAAGGTGGCACCCACAGATCTGACCAGATCTAACCTGCCTTTGCAATATGCAAAGGGCTAAGGGAGCACCACAGTATGGATGAAACAGATCAATCAAATATATTGTAAATTATCCTGTTCCATGACTGCCACAGACTTGGTAGTTTTTGTCAGCCCTTTCCCTTGCCTGGAAACTAAAGAGAAGAACATAATAAGGTTCTGACAAAGTTTTCACAGCATTATTTCTACCCACATTCTAGGATAATACCATAGCCTGCCTTCTCACAGTGCCTTTCCTCAAAGAAAGACAAAAACCACTGCACTGATCAATGTCTCATCCACCAAAATTTTTGGGAAGGAGAATATATTGTTCTGATATATAAAATGGAAAACACAGACAAAGGGAGTTACTCCATACAGCTTATTAGTGAGTGAACAGCAAAGCTGGGAAAGGAACCCAGATTTCCTCCTACCTTGCATCTCTTGCCAATTATTCTACATAAGAGCTTCACTCAGAAGAAAGAAGCACCAGGCTACAAGACTGGCTTTTTTTTAAGCAGCAGCCTGTGATAACAGTACTCAATTTACAGCTTCAGGAAAATTCACGGAAAGGTTCCCAGGGACTTCACTGATTTAAATTAAGTTCGAAGAGATGAGGAAAAAACCTGTACTACATTGATTCTTAGGAACATGCTCTGAGGAGGCAGATTAGAAGGATCACTGACCTCTCCCTCATCTTTTGAGAGTAGCTGTCCACAAGAAAGAAAGTCTTCATATTTGGCAAAGGGGATGACAGGCTCTGGCAGCTCTCGAAGGTAAAGCTTCAGGAGGGACGCCACAGTGTGAACATCTGTGTTGCTGCAATAGAGAAGAGGGAAGGAAATTTAGAAACCCACACTACCTCAAAGCTTGACTGGGGGGTGCATCAAGGTCCCTCTTAGGGACAGGGACAAAGTAGGCACATGGAAGGAAGCTCTTCTACCAGTCATTGGTAGGGAGGGAGGTCTGTCTGGGAACAAGAGAAATCTCCATTGTGTCAAGATAGAAATGTCCTCATGTGACACAGACAATGGAAGGGATATGCCAATGATAATGCTTAAGGTAGAGTGACACTGTGGTTCCTCTGCCATTGTGGACCAGGAATGTGAGGAATAGTCCAGGCAAATTCACAGTGATCACACAGCATTGACAACAGAGCTCTTCCCTCCTGTTCCATGAAACATAACCTCTGAGCCTCTCACTGATCCCTGCTGATACTCTCCCCAGCCAGCACACACATACAGCTGACAGGCTGGGCTCCCACTTACCCTGGTCAATCATTCAGGAAAAATGGAGGAAGCTGTATTTCCTCCAGGTCCTCTATTGCCCTTTGGTATGGCTGCCAGGCTTGTGGTATTTGGTATTTCCTAGCTCATCTGTTATGAAAGGATATCAGCTTTTATTTTCTCTCCCAATGCAGGAGCAACTTTTTCCTCTTTCTTCTCCCTTGCTTTAAAGTTGGGGTTGAGGTGTCAGATCCCATGATGTAGATGAACCCTTTCCAGCTACCCAGCTTCTGGTGTATGGTGATGCCTCTCTCTCATTCCATTTTTCCTGTAGTACAGCACTGTTAATCATTGCAGATGACCTCCTCTGGTCAAGGTTTTGACTGTTGGAAGTCTAAACAGATTCTGTCACCATCTCCTCCCTACCCACCATTGCCCTGACAGTCTTTAAAGAATTCTGAGAAAAATATATCACTGAACATTGGGCAAGAGAGCTTCAAATCCTCTCTTCTCTCCAAAAGCTGAATCCCTTCTACTTAGTATGGCTTTTTTTTGGAACATGTGGTTAAAACAAAACTGGAAAAACTTCAACAGGAAACTGTCAGCAGACACCACTTATTCCTAATCCTGCTAATGCTATTCCTATTAAACAGCTCCATCATATTTGAGATTATCACAGTTTCACACAGTTGTTTTCTTCAGTTGATTATAGTGTTTTACAAATGAGATCAGTATTCTTATTCATTTTTTTTCCTTTAGTGTGGAGTTTCAGGCATGGATGGTGGATCTGACTATCACTGAGAAGCAGAGCCCAGAACAGAGCTTCAGGCTCACTGGCTGCAGTAACTGTCTCATCCATGATGCCATATGAAATACAGCCAGACTTTCAGTGGAATGAAAGTGCAGCAGGGACAGACTGCTATAGGTGTTTCCAAAACAGCACCACCTGGCCTTTCATAGGAACACTGGAAAAGAAAGTCTTTTAAAAATAAATACTTTAATTGTCAGTTGTCACAAAGGTTTGATCCACAATGGGGCAGGCAGGCTATAAGCACCTGGGATATCACTGTAGTTACAAAAGACATCTAAAAGCATTGACTGCAGCTGGGAAATAAGAAAGGATATTCCTTTCACTGCACCTGATTTGGAAAGAAGCATAAGGATTTCACACTTCTGCTGTCAAGATATTCCAGGCCATACAGCGATAATTTATAGTTACACATAGAGAAAATTATGGTTGCTAGGAGGAAAAGCATTTCATTTAGCCATAGTGGAACTGCCTCTCCCTTACCACTGTCTGTGACTACAAATACAAAAGACCTACTGTATGTACAGGTGGGGACATGGTGGAAAAAGCAAAAGGCAATAACTGGGACACCCTCAACTTTCCACTACTCAGGAACTCTAGGCTTGCTTCCTTTGATTCTGCACTGAACATTTACTTACTGCATTACACAGTGACTACCCAAAAGGTAGGCATTCCTTCCTGGAGGTCCCTAGTGCCTCTCCTAAAAGGGAGACTTAGCACTGATCTATTTAGCCAATGCAAATATGGAAATAAAGGTGCTTTCTGCACCCAAGGTGGTAAAGGACTGGAAGAGGTTTCCTACAGAAGCTATGGATGCCCCTGGAAGCTCCTGGAAGTGTTCAAAGCCAGGCTGAACCTGCCCATGGCAGGGGCCTGGAAGGAGATGAATTTTATGATCCCTTCCAATCCAAACCATTGTACAATTGAATTTGGCTTTAAAAATTCTGGGTGGAGGCTTGGTTTATCTACATAACAATGAAGTCAGGTAAGGCTAAAGTAAAACATTAAATTGAAACTTTCATTCCTAATTAATTTCTTCATAGATACTCCTGTTCCAGAGTGTAAGCACTGAATTAAGATAATTCTAATTCTGAACTAGAACACCCAGACATTAAGTTAAAAATACAAAGGTTTTGTTTAAGAAAAGATTAACTGAGACAATATGATTATTTCAAACTTATTTTTTCATGAAGATATTACTAAATGTTTGACACTTCCATTTAGGGAGCAAATAGTGTTTGTGGTTAGGAATCAAAGAAAGGAGGATGGGTGGTCTGGGAAGCTGAGGGAAGGGAAGAATTAGAAGAATGTTCCAAATAAACTCTGAAGATATACTTCCCAAGATGAGACCAAACACACTTTCTGCCCACGCAGGAGACAGTGCTAGCTCTTCCTGCAGTGGTAGGCAGGGAAGATGCTGGCAATGTTGAGACTGGCTGCAGGTCCAGTGGCAGAGATCCCTCAAGGTTAATGTGTTGGTAGTACACCAGATGCCACCAGCATCACCTGGAAAACCAGGGCTAGGTGAGTTCCTGCAAGAAATGGTACCAGGCCTCCAAGACAAGATCCCAGATCTGATCTCATTTATGGACCTGTGATAGAGATCAGACCAGATCTAAACAGTGCCCTTGGATCCAAATATCCCTCAAGTTCAAGGTCTCTGTTAGGGTCAAGCCTTATTTCACAAAGGTCTGTTAAGCTTTGCACAATGCTGACTCACTCCAGGCAGGATGTACATATGACAGAGAGGATGAAATGTTAGTTACAGGGTAAGGACAGCATTTGGCTGGAAGGGCCTTGACAGTGTCCACCTTTTTGATCATCCAAATGCCTGAGGGCCAACGTCAGCACAGCTGAGAGCTGCCCCTTGCCTTGCTGCCCTTGGATGGAGCACTCAGAGACAGGGATGACACTCTTCCCATGGGAACAGGTATTAAGCTGAGCATCTAGAAAACAGCTGCTGGCACAATGGCCAGGTAAAATATGTCAGATAGGGGTGACTATTCTGAAACCTGGTGACAAAGAAAGAGTCAAGATATTGCTCCAGGCAGATCTGACGGGAGAATGTAACATCTGAAAGCAGTGCATCACCTAGTTCACCTCTGTAGTACCAATTTCTGTGATGGGATCCCACCAACTGCTCAGTTTTCATTCAATATGTGCTTAAGCTGAAACACTGGATGACCCCCACACATGAGCTCTGTTCCACCACTGAGCTGAATAAAGGCCTCACACCCACCACCATCTGGGAGAAGGTTCCATCAGCGCTTTCAACAGAGAGAATGACGGTGTGGAAAGAACGTAAGCTAGGATTGCCGCTGCGTGGACATTCCTGGCAGATTTTACATGTCACACATACACCAGCCTGAATTTGGTGATGTCAACTCACCTGTCAAAAAGGGGTTTCTCTCCACAATCAAAAGAATCCTGCAGATCTTTGACAAGGTTGGCTTGTCCCGGCATCCGAAAGAGCCCCTCCTCTGTAAGACCTCGCTCCCGAATAAAATCCACACACTGTTCCACCAGCAGTGGGGCCAAGCGCTGGCCATATTTCCGCTCGTACTGTACGGTGTCCTCCAAGCGCTGTCCAAAGATCCCTGACAGCAGAGAGCAAGAGAGACATCTGGGTGTCAGCTTAAACTCTTCCTGAGCTGCTGCTTGGGGCACACAAGGAGGGAAGTTTTCACATGGAGGGGGCAGCTTTTGTGAAGGTCCAGTTTCTAACAGACTCTGAAGAATAAAGCTATTTTAAAAAACAAGAATTACATGATGAATTTTTTTTTCCTGCTTACCAGTGCTTCAAACTATCCTCTGCCCTAAGCAGGTTTATATCTGATACACAAGGAAGGTGGGCTTAAGGTTATGTTTATGGTTATTGACAGCTGTGCTGGATTTAGATTAAGTAATTATACTTTTAATGCACCTTCCATCCCAAGAAGACCAAAACAAAGGCTACGTTGACTTTATGGGACACATCTCCTTCCCGAATGCACCCACTGCTTTGGCTGTCACACAGCTGCCCTTCACTAGTGTGCAGCTGGCCAGCCCAACTGGCAGCAATCCCACTGGGAGGGGACTGCTCACACAGCAGAGTACAGCTATCAACATTAAAAGTGGATATTGTGAGAATCTTCCACCATCCTGGGAGGCTCTATTTATTTTCCTTTAATTAAACTTGTTGAATGAATATTAATAAAAAATAAAAAAAACCACAGTAAAATGCATGCAAAATCCATTGCTCTCCCTACTAAAAAGTGTGTGCCGTACTTCTTGCATCTTGAAAATATGAGAAGCACCATATTCTGTAAAACCAGACTGGCCTACATTAATTCTTTAGCCAGAGCTACTGTAGACATATATCATTAGGTACAAAGCACTATCTGTTTCTTTGGGGAGTATGGAGTTCCTTGCCAATACCAGCTGCTGAATGCCACTACTGGCATCAGGTCTTTCAGCAACACAGAAGGGGGCTCAGGCTGTAAGAGCCAGAGATCTTAGTTCAATCCCTACTACTAGAAGATTGCTCCATCTAAAAGGACTGCCACTGAGTTGAATTCTGAAACTTTAATTCTAGCACCCTACTATGTTTGGTGGAGTAAAGGAGCATAGTATCCAAGTGAATGATATTTTGGCTACAAAAATTCAGTAATCCCAGAATCTACTCCCAGAATTTCAGAATCAGCTCTCAGAATTTCAGCGGACATCAGACTAGAACAGGCAGGAAATTCTGTTCAGGGATTTCTCAAAGTTACGTTTTCTACAGCTATCAAGGATCTTTAGATAATTCATTCAGCACTCAGTTAAACCTGCAGGTCTGAAAAATAAAACAGCATGCAATATTGGAGTCACACTGTTTCACACCCAGTGGCCAGAAGCAGTATTTAATCTTGCACATATGTACTTATAGCAGGCCAGGGAATATAGTAATTTCTGAAGGCTCTATTTACCTTCCCCCACTAGTGACCATGTCTTCCTTTTTTTTTTTTCCAGGGCTACATTCATGAGAGGTTGATAACTCCTGGTATCAGGAGTTCCCTGACCACTGTTCTTCATAAGAGACACCATATCTGCTTTCTATATTCAGTCCAACCCTGCTGAATCCTCAGTGAAACAAGCCTCTCATTATCAGTTTCAACTCATCAAACGAAAGCTGCAAGAAGAATCCTGAAGACCAATTTCCTTTCCCTGGCTGTTTGTTATACATCAGAAGACAGAAACTTTCCTTACACCACAGCCTACACAACTGGATTACAGTATCAAAGCCGGAGGGCCATGAGAAGTCTCAAAGGAAATTCCCTCATCCTGGCAGGAGGGCATGCCCTGGAGCATGGGAGTGACTTATCTTTATCATTGTATATGTTTGGTTTATTGTAGAGTAAAGGTTTTACTAGAGCTTATTTCTAATCTCTTTGAATTTTCACTGAGTTGAGTGTCTCTGAAGTCAGTTTCTAGGATAGGGAATCTCTTTCTGCTTTTGCACAGACTGCTTTATAATCCCATCATGTAATCCCTGCTGTCATGACAGGGCATATCTCTTTCCTTAAAATGATACATGTTGCCCACTCTTCTAGATGCAAGACATATAAATTCAGGGAGGTCAGGATGTGACACATGTCAAGGCAATAGCTGCCCTCTTTTCTCAAATCCCTACTTGCTGCATCTGTTTCCTAATGGGTCTGTCCAGAGAAATCTCTGGGAAAGAGGTAAAGGCTCTGCACTCCCCAGGCATAAAGCACATATACAATGTTCTACACTTAGATCAAGACCAAAGACAATGTCACACACATAAGCAAGCACACACACAACTGCATGCTTTATCTCCACTGAAGAGAATCTACTTTTCCCCAGCCTTGATTGGTCTGTGCTCAGCAACATCTCCAACACCTTTCAGGCAACATCAGTCCTCATCCTTCACAGACAATTTGGATCACAACAGCAGTAGCTTTCTGTAGGTGCAATCTACCTGTGAGTGACTTCTGGAGACAAGAGGACTACAATCAAATGGAGACGACCAACACAGAGAATAAGGAATGTGATGCCAAGGTAACAGAGATAGAAGGGGGATGTAATTTGAGACTCAGATGGAGCAGCAGATGGACCCTTCACAAACACAGTATCACCATTACTGTGGGTGTCTCCTGCACAGCCAGATGCTGGGGATCCCATCTTTCCTCCTCACACGTTGATGTCAGCAATATTTTTCTACTTGATGAAAACAACAATCTTGGGAGGAAATAAAGGCACTGAAATATTGTTATACTGCAATATTCTTCACCTCCAGATCATTTTAAACAAGTAACAAGAAAAGCCAGGCATGAAACCAAACATGACCAAGGAAGATGATCTGCTTATCACAGGACGAGTGAAAGGAGCTGGCACAAGCATGCGCTGCTTCTTGTGTGACAGTGTCTGCTGAAGGGCTGTGCTAGTGAGATCACACAGTCTGCATAGGTCATTTTTTGGTGGGAAGAGGACTCAAGCTATTGCCAGGGTGAAAGATTTCTTGCAGCCCAGCTCTCTCGGCTGCCTTCCACCCTGGTTTTGTTGCCCAAACCAACTTTGAACCAACTCCAGATCTATGCCTTTCTCTCTCCCTTGAACTTGAACCCTAATTTTCCAGGGAACCATCAGAAGGGATAACGAAACATTGCTCAGACAAAATATTTCACCCAAGTGAAGTCTATTGCTAACTGCAACTTTCCCTTTGTTACGTTTTTCAGTTACACTGCAGTTCCATACATTTTCTTTCTCTCTATCCTACTTTTTTTCTTTTTTTGCTGAGCCATACACAAGGGCCACCACAGATGCTGCTCAGGAGAAAGACTGCACCCAGGCCAAGTCTTTTGGCAGTAGGAGCATTATGGTTGGTGTTAAGAGAGAAAAAGCACAGAGATGCAGTTAGAAAGACTGGAAAGTTGGCCTTGGAGAAATTGTTCATCTGTACAGTGGCTGCAGAACTTGTCCATGGCTTAGAAAAGAAAAATAGTGTTAAGGTTCATAGAAAGAACAAGCTAAGAGCTATTTATGGAGTGGGGCTGCAAAGGGACTGTCAAAGAGAAATCTGAGATGCTGACAGTTGCAGGCTTACAGAAATCTTTCATTTGGGCATCTGCTTGATGAAGTTCAGGAGAATTATCACTTGGACCCTCTCAGTCGCACTAACAACAGACTTAGCAGATGTGCCTACTTCAGTCTCCCAGCACCCCACAGGGCAAACTGAGCAACTGGTGTCCTGTGGCTCTGTATCATTTGTCTCATTTCCGTCAGGTCTCAGACCTTGTAAAAGTGATGTAGTAAAACGTCCCTGAAACTCCCAGTGTATGACAACATCTCCGGTTTGGACAGAGACTGCCCTGCCTTGCAAGGAGAAGCAATGCAGAGCCAGTCACACACAGCCTCCTGCGCCAGCTCCTCAAGGCACAGGCCTGCTTTTAATCACTGGGCCCTGCAGCTCAGACTGAACTTGGCAGCACTTCACTCCATTTGATGATCCCGCTGGAAGACATTAAAGTCTTTTTCTTCATTCTAAAGAAGGGGAGACAGTGCCATCCAGTCACACTCCAGACAGAGTTAAGCTGGAAATAAAGCCAAAAGTTTACTAGAAACCTAAGGGTTAACTTTCCTTGTCATACCCTTATCTATAGCTAGGCCCTTTTGTTTGGTTTCAAAGTAGAAAAAAACTCTAGCATGCCTGGAACCACATCCTTAATCTCAGAAAGATTCAAGAGATACTAAAAAAATGAGCTAGCAGAACTACAGAATTTCTTTCCTCTACTCCAACAAGCTGCCTCTGTTCTTTAAAGATTTAGGTGACTCTTTGCAGAAAAAGCAAGCCAGGAATGATGTACTGACTAAGACACAGACAGGCTCTCTGTCCTGGCCTGAACAGCTCACCCACCAGCTCCAGGCATACAAAGCCTATACATTCAGCTATGCTGTCCAGACATGCAGTGGGCAGGAAAATATATGCTCTCTGCTACATTTTTCCTCATCAGAGGCTCTTATTTCAACCAAAATAAACTAAAGACAGAGATAAAGTCACTTTTTGAGTAGATTTTCTTCACACGGAGGACTAAGGACTCCGCATGTGCTTAAAGTGTGAAAAGTCCAGGCACACCTACGTCAGCTGTATGTGCAGCTTATTCCACACAAGTTAAAAGATGTGTGGGAAGATAATCAGGCTTACACCTGGATGCTGCTATACAACAGCACATACACCCGCGCACGCATGTGGTGCCTCACAGACAGGCAGCTTATGGATATAAAGATTGTGTACGTGCTCACCTGCACAGGTAAGTGCCTGCTTTTACCTTCCCACTTTCATGCTAAAGTTCCCATTTATCTGTCCCTCTCACACATGAAAGCACTGAGAAAAAATCACGGGCAGACATTCAGAAATGCATATGCTTCCACAGCACAAAACACACACAAATCTTTGCTTCCCCTCCCCTGGCCCACCCAAGCACACACTTATGTGAATTACTGCAGCGGCAACAGGAAAAGGAGTTTCATGGTAGAAGCCATATGTACCTAAAAAATGATAGTCCCGAACAACTAAACAATCCAGCCAACAAGAGAATGCAAGAATAGGGGGAAA